TTCCACTTCTCTCCTGAGCTGAGTCTCTGTCCTACTCTTTGACAGTGCCAGAGCGCCCCGGCTTCCTCTGTGGGCCAGCAGCTCTGAGTCACTCTTGGAATACAACAGTCCTGGTGGCCCAGGGCCAAATCCCCGCTTACTCCTGTGGCTCCTCCTGCCCTGGGTTTCTCAAAGCCTTCACTTCTCCATGAGTTAGTCCAGATTCGCAGACTGTGGGGGTAGTCTCAGCAAGACCCCCACACTTCTCTACATGAGCTTTCAAAAAGATAGTGTTAAAGGCACCCCAGAGCCAGATAGGAAAGGGGCATAGACTCCTCTCTTATCTCAGGGAAGCTTTGGGGCATATGGAGTCCTGGAGCTGGGGCCCCCTTGCAGACTCTTGCACCACTGCTTCCATTATGCTGACTCCAAAGGGGTCTGTGACCTTTTGCTTCCAGAGGTGCACGTCAAGGGATTAAGGGTCTGTGTTCCTTTCTCACACAGACCTGGAGCAATAGCACAGTAGGTAGGGTGTTTTCCTTGCACATGGCCAACCCAGCCAAAGCAAGTTTGATTCCTCCGCCCCTCTCGGAGAGCCCCGCAAGCTACCAAGAGTATCTTGCCCGCACGGCAAAGCCTGGCAAGTTCCCCGTGACGTATTCGATATACCAAACATAGTAGCAACAAGTCTCACAATGGAGACGTTACTGGGCCCACTCGAGCAAATCGATGAACACTCGAGCAATCGATGACAGTGCCACAGTGCTACAGTCCCATTCTCAGCCTTGTGCAGAGGTGGGGAGGCTGCAGAGCATGGACTGGGGCTACTGGCTCAGGAGCAGAGGGTTGAGCTGGATGAAATCTCATAACTTGTCATCAGACACTTGGGCAGTCTGAGCCTTCTACTCTGCAGTCAGTTTCAAGATGCAGACTTGGTTCTGAGTATGTGGGAAGACTCGACAGGCTCTTGTAGACCCTCTGCCACCCATTGTGGGGGACTCAGCAGACTTCCCAGTAGCCTGCTAATGACACGCTAGATTCAAACTCCTTTACTTACACACCTAGTTCTTCCAGCCCTCAGCTTCTTAACCTGTGAGTCACAACAGACTCAGCAACCACAGTAAATTGTTTCTAATCATGCCATGAACAAAACACAAATCAAAATCATACCCACGAATCTGAGGTGTTTCTGGCAATGCTTGTCCCTGTTGACATTTCTCAGATGAAAAGGGGATTGGAGTTGACCAGTTTGAGGGGCCCTGACCCAGATCCCAAGTAAATGTCCTTAGCCTCTATGTCTCCCTGTGAAATGAGGGCGAGATTCCACTCTCCTCACGGGGCTATTAAGGGTTCTCATGAGATTCTCTCTGGTTCGGACCCAGCTTTGCCATGCTTCCCTGGTGCTCTAGCGGGCTCACACTGTGCTGAGAGACTCCATTTCATCTGTAGAAGCTCTATTATGTGCATTCATCCAGGTCAGGAGGCAGCCTGACCCCTTCTGTAACCCCTCATCCCCAAAAGGACTACTTTACTGGGCTGCCAGAGAACAGACTGCAGACAAGCACCTTAGATAGTGCACATTTATTTTCACACAGTTCTGTGTCTGCAAGGCAGACATCACAGTGTCTGCAGAGTGGGTTTCTTCTGAGGCCTCTTCCTGGCTTTGAAGGAGACTGTCTTTTCCCTGTGTCTAGATTGGTCTCCCCCTGAGTGTTCCTCTGTCTTAATCTCTCTCTCTCTCTCTCTCTTTAAAAAATATAGAGAGATAATTTTATTTATGAAGCATCACAAATTAATGCTAGCATAGCCCTCAAAAGAATTCTTTTAAAAATAATGTACTCTTGAGTGTTTTTGGTTGACATCTAAAATTTATCATAAATGTGAGTCATTGCAAAGGATATGAATTCCAGAATATTACAAATCAGATGGCTTACAATGAAATGGCTACAGCCCTCCTTTCCATCTGAATGTTATGAATTTCATAACCAGATCTGTTTACTTTTAAAGGTACTGTGAGGGCAAAAGAAAGGTTCTATGAACAAGTTTTTGTTGCCAGAAATTTTATATTGTCCTTTTTTCAATTGAACTTTTATCTTAAATCCACTTCCAATAAAATATTTTATTCTACTTTATTAGATAGTGTGCTTTGAATATGGTATATTGATTACTCAATTATATTTTATTAAATATATGTATATATAAATTTAGATAAAAAATTTTATATTGCCTTATACCCTAGGTATACTTTAGATATGAAAATACTCTCTTCTGTATTGAGTTATCAATACTGTGCAATTAGTGAGATTTGGAAAATTATATAAAATTAATCAAAACTGCATAAATATATTATAAATTTAGATAAATAATTAATAATCCTAAGAAGTAAGGTTTATTAGAATTGTATCTTTATTGAAATGGATTTTTATATTTACTTCATATACACCCTATATGAATTTTCTCAGTGATAGAATTTAGCATCAATTTCTATTCTTAATTTTAAAATAGGTGTTATCTCTGAGATACATTGTTCAATATAAAATGAAGAGAGAATGCATGGGGTATTCTTAGATCCCTCAGTGCTGTAAACAGCTTTAAGCTCTATATAAAAGTCATAGAATAATCTATCATTGAAAACTATTTTTGGTACTCTACTAGTTGACAGCTGGATTAGGTCACTAGTCAGTCCTTGTTGAAAGCAAATTAACGAAACCTCTCCTCTTTGTAAAAGGCTTAGTTGTTGTTCAATCATTAGGCATGTACTTTCTCCACACAGACACCAATATTTCAAATCATTTTTATTTCTTGCCCCAGGGCTTTTCACCCTCCAGGACAGGTCTCCTTAGAGTGGGTCATAAGTAAACTTTAATTTTATGAATTAGAAAAGGTGATGTGAATGGGAAGGGTGAAAGGAATGTAGGCAGACTTCAGATATGTTTCAGGACAATAAATTCTTAGGAAAGAGTACCCTAAATATGAGTATCCAATTATCGATTTTTTAGAAAGTCTTTATGAGTGGCCAGGGGTATACAAACATTAGTCTAAAGACCCCAAATCCAAATAGTAAGCTTGGAATAGTGCCAGAATCACATGGCATGAACATTATATACTATGGTTATTATTATTATTGTTGTTGTTGTTGCTGCATCTGTAAATTATCTGGTACATGGTACATAATAGGTGCTAAGTAAATGGAATGCAGAAAGACTTTTTGGTACTGCTGGGAACTGGACCACACAAATCTGTAAAAGCCCTTCTAATGGGCTAGAAATACAGTACTGTGGGTGAGGCACTTACCTTGCATGGAGCCCAGGTTTCCATCCCTGGCATCGATTATGATCCACAGAGCAATTCCAGTAGTGATCCCTGAGTACAAAACAAGGAATAAGCCCTCCTGAAAAAGAAAACCAAACAAAAGTTCCTTTAAAAAAAGAACTTCTGGGAGCTGGAGAGATAGCACAGTGGGTAGGGCGTTTGCCTTGCACGCAGCCGACCCGAGTTCGATTCCCAGCAACCCATATGGTCCCCTGAGCACCGCCAGGAGTAATTTCTGAGTGCAAGAGCCAGGAATAACCCCTGTGCATTGCCAGGTGTGACCCGAAAAACAAAAAGAAAAAACAAAAAAGAACTTCTGTCATGTTTTGTTTTGTTTTCCTTGCTCAAGGATCAATCCTGGCTGGCTCAGAGGACCATAGATGGATGGTGCCAAGTCTATCCTAAGTCAGCATGGCAAGGCAAACACCTTACCCTCTGTACTGTCTCTCTAGTCCTGAGAACAGTCTATCTGACCTGGAACCTATATTGCCCACCTGCAGATCAGTCTGACTATAATAGTTTAAAGGTAAAAGGTAAAGGCCCTCCCGTTGTTCATCGATTTGCTCGAGCGGGCCCAGTAACGTCTCCATTGGAGACTTTGTTGTTACTGTGTCTGGCATATCGAATACATCTTGGGGAGCTTGCCAGGCTCTGCCGCACGGGCTAGATACTCTCGGTAGCTTGTCGGGCTCTCCAAGAGGGACGGAGGAATCGAACTCGGGTCGGCCATGTTGGCTATGTGCAAGGCAAATGCCCTACCGCTGTGCTAATAGTTTAGCATAAGTATTTTGTTTACTTGCAATTCTACACATCAGCAGTTTGGACTGGATTCAGCTAAGCCGTTATGGCCTCAGTCATATTTACTCATGCAGCTGCAATCTGCTGGTGAATCAACTGAGGTGACCTGCTCCATGCAGTCATATTTTCTAGTGGGTAGCAGAAGAATTTCATACAAGAGAAATTGCAAATTCAGGACAAAACAATATTCTGTGCCTTTGCATGGAGCATATTGATTAATGTTTCACTGGCCAAAGCAAACCATGTGACTAAACTGGGAGTCAGTATTTTAGAAAGATCAGGGAGATGTGATTCATTAAGGCCATTGGTTCACCACACAACCCAGAACCCAATGACTGTTGCAGTTTTATTTCCATTTGGGATGAATTCAATTGAGAAACTTCGATAGTTATTTAAGGTAAGCGCCTTTGGATCCTTGTTTTCCCACTGTAAATAGAATCATTTGGTTTTCATCAAGGATATCTACTATAGGGAATGTCTTTCTCTAAGACTATTTTCCCAAGGTCCTAGAACAACATTACTCAGAAAATATTTTACACAGAGAAGCGTTTAAGTGGAAGCAAGTGAGCCCAGCTTTCCCTAATAAGATTCTCTCTTAACTAAGGCAGAGTTCAGAAGCTGAGTGACTTGTTCTAGAGCCCAGCACACTAGACTTCAACTCAGTCTGATTTGGCCTAAAGTGAATGTTTCACGTTACATAAAGTCTTGTACCTGTCTGGATCCAGCGCATCACTGTGGTGCCCGGGCTCTGGCCTTGTTGCTTTGATCAAGAGACAAGTAGGAAAGCTCTGGAGATGACATGGACCAACATCTTGGCAACACCAAAGTGCTCACATTTCCTGATAATGCCTGAAATTTATCTAGCTACAGTAGCAGTTACTTACCATTTTTTATTTATTTTTCTTTCACAGTGAGACATTATTTGGTGAAATGCCCTCAGAACAGGTAGGTATACATTTTCCTTTTCCCCTCCTCACTCGAAATGAAACCCTTTTCTATTTGACTTCTTTTTATATATGATCAAGATATCAGTTAAATTAATATTTTTACCTCAATGTCTGTGTATTAGTCCATAAATTGTTCTAAAATGTGTAGATGCATGCACCTGTGCATTTATGGATTTTATTCTCTGCTGTCAACTTCTGGAGGTCTAGAGAAGATGTGGCTCATGCTGGCTTAGCTTGCATGCTGAAGGAGGCTTTGTACCTCTTCCTACATGGATGTATTCCTGGCTTAGGAATGAGCTGGAAGGGCTGGAAACTAGACTGAGTACTTTCCACTCCTAATCCCTCTCTACCAGTGCCTATTTGCACAAGGCTACACTCTTGGAAATGTGATATACGTACATGTATATTCATATATACACAAATATATATACACATATACATATATATGGCTGGAGTGATAGCACAGCGGTAGGGCGTTTGCCTTGCACGCAGCCAACATGGCCGACCCGAGTTCGATTCCTCCACCCCTCTCCGAGAGCCCGGCAAGCTACTGAGAGTATCTCGCCCACACGGCAGAGCCTGGCAAGCTCCCCGTGACGTATTCGATATGCCAAACACAGTAACAACAAAGTCTCCAATGGAGACGTTACTGGGCCCGCTCGAGCAAATCGATGAACAATGGGAGAGCCTTTACTTTACATATATATGTATGTATATTTATATATACACGTACACACATATTTATTTATAACACCTTAGTTTAGCTTGTGGAACACACCATATAAGAGATATTGTAGATAGTCATTATGTCTAAAAGTTTGAGATGTTCAGTTTGAACAAGAAATTTTATTTTTTTCTCTTCTCTACTAAACACAACTGTAAGTCTCGGAAATACTATGGGACACTCAAAGGAAGATTCTGAAAGGCTGTGAAAGAAAATTACAATTAAAGTGAGTAGAGAAAAATAACACATTTCCTACAGGGAAACATAAATTTCAATGACAATGCATTTTTAAAATTTTGAATCCATGAAGGACAGAAAGAAATGGCATATCTTGCAAACATGAAAAGAATAGAGATGACAACCATAATTTTTCTTAAACCTCTGAAATTATAATATCTTAAATTATGAAGAACATTGTGATATTTAAAGACGGTGAAGTTAAAATGACCTAATTGGAAGTGAGGCTTTTACTGTTCACTCAAAGTGGTAGAATGTTGGCACTTGTAGACTATAGCAAGATGGTAAACTTGAATCAATCATTGAAATAATTGAAAGAATGCCTCTAAAAATATTGTTGAAGACCAAGAAGATAACATAAATTGGAGTGTATAGTTTAAGCTTATGCAAGGTTGTGACTTTGATACCATGCACTGCTATGGTATGGTATGGTAGATCGCTTCTATTATAGAGCGGATCAGAAAGTAGGTTCAAACATATGTACTCAAGAAAAAGATGTTTGACTATAGTTTAGGAAATCAGCAAATCCTCTCTTACCACAAACAAGTATAACCAGCACCAACTGGAATGGCTCTAGTGGCCCACAGTACTGCCAATAAACACTATTTAGAAAGTACCCTTTATAAAGTAACAAAATAGGAGACTAACACCTAAGAATAGCCGAGATAAGTACCAGTAGGTTTACTCCATGGCTTGGAGGCCAGCCGCACATGCTAGGGGTAAAGGTAGCTCAGATAGAGAAGGGAACACCAAATAAAGCGTTTTGGGAAGATCCGCCCAGGATGGGAGATGCATGCTGAAAGTAGACTATAGACTGAACATGATTGCCACTCAATTCCTCTTTTGCAAACCAAGCACCCAAAAGGAGAGGGAGAACAAAAGGGAATGCCCTGCCACAGAGGCAGGGTAGGATGAGGGGATGGGGGGGGTGGGAGGGACACTGGGATTAGTGGTGGTGGAGAATGGGCACTGGTGGAGGGATGGGTACTCGATCATTGTATAACTGAAACCCAAGCACAAAAATTTGTAAGTCTACAACTGGACCTCATGGTGTTTCACTAATAAATTTTTTTAAAAAAATCATTATTAAAAAATAAACATTGAATAATAAAGTATTTTGTGGCAACATAAAAAAATCAAAAGAATGAGGAGCACAGAATGCAGACAGAAAACAAATAATAAAATATCAGACTTGTTTATTAGCATACTATTTATTTTAAATGTAAATGGTTTAAATGTATGAATCAAATGATAAAGATAGTGTAGATTATTCTTAAGTGGCTTTCCAAAAGACTCACATTCCTTTCCTTTCCAAAAGACTCACTTTAAACACAATGCCATTGTTGATTTCTTGTACATATCAAGCAACACATGATAACAATAAAGCAAAAACTGAAAAATCTGAAAGAATAAATGGATAAATCTACTTACAGTTATGGATGATGACATAAATGCTCCCCTCTTAACAGTGGATAGAAACACTAGACATAAAATTAGTAAGGATATTGAAAAACTAGGCAACACAATCAACCAAAAAGACTGTATTGCTACATAGAAAATACTGTAGCCAAGAAAACAAACATAAGTTTCCCAGCTCCCTGAAACATCCACAATAAGAGATGGTTCATCTTAGACCATCTTAATCCTAGGCTATTAGACCTCGGCAAGTTTAGAAGAATAGAAATATTAGTGCAATCAATCTAGAAATAAAAAAACAATAGCAATCAAATATCTATTACATGGAAACTTAAAGAAACTACTTTTGAATAGTCCATGGTCAAAGGAAGTTGAAAAGGAAACAATTTTTAATAATTAACTAAAAGATGAAAATAATTAACAAAATATGTGGGGTGCAGATAACGCACTAACAGAGATACTTATACTATTCGATGCTTCTATGGAAATAAAGAAAAACCTAAAACCAACATTCTGAAGTCTCATCTCATGAAAATAAGAAAAAATAACATAATAATCCCCAAACATATAGATTGTCTGAGGTACCAAGTTTGATTCTGAGGAGACCACCCAATAGTTTTAAAAAATTAAAACCTAGAGCTAACAATAGGAAGGAAATAAAGATCAAAAAAGGAAAGAGGTGAAATTGAAAACAGTAAAGCAATCCAGAAAATCACTGAAACAAATAGCAATTGGTTAATCTCTGAGGAAATCCAGGCAAAGTTTACATAGGAACTCTATGTTTTAATACTATCATCTGTGACTTTATAATTATCTTGGTAGAAGTTTCAATTAAAAATAAATTTAGATTTTGCTGGAGAGCCCTGTTAACAGTCCCAATAAATTTGACCATTTTGTGTTAACTGGTGTTGGTTTGGGATTCTTAGAAACCTCCTTACCAGTATCAGGATGCAATTTTATTTCATTAAAAGTTCATTGTCTACCAACTACTCTCTGCCAGGGAATAAGCAGTAAGAAAAAGAGGCAGAAGTCTCTGTTATTGTAGAGCTGACCAGACTATAGTTTCAAACATCTGTCCCCAAGAAAAAGACTATAACTTAGGAAATCAGCAGATCCTCTCTTCCCACAAACAAGGATAAAACTGAACAGAATGGACACACATAACTATTTTAGCACTCTGGAAATAGACCAAAGAGATATACTAAACAGTGGGACTTTTATACTCTAGGAACAGCTGATTTGCTGATAAGAACTGTAGTACTCTGTGGAGTTTTGGCCTTGTGTCAATCTGATACTCAGAGGTTCTTTCAGGGCAGAGAGTTCTATGAGGACATCAGTTTCTCTGCTGTGGTAGAAGGGCTTTTGCTTGACTTGGAGCAATGTGTAGTGTAGAACAGTCAGTGGAAGCTGTAATCTCAGAAGTAGTAGAAGTAATAAGCAAGGATATCCAACAGCTCTACTGTCTTTAGGTTTGGGTTTTGGTTGGCACAAGAATATTGTGGTGACATATGCATATTTGTGGGAGAATAGAGTCCCCAAATAAGGGAAAGGGCATACCTTGCAAATAGTAAGAGAGGTAGCAAAACATCTATTAGAACAGATATAATTTAAAACAAAAAATACTAGGACTGGAGCAGTAGTACAGTGGGTATGGCATTTGCCTTGAATGTGCTAACCCAGGTTTGATCCCTATCATCCCAATTGGTCCCTGAACCACATGGGAGTGATTTCCTGAATGCAGAGCAGGGGTAACCCCTGAGCATCTCCAGAAGTGGCCTCCAAAAACCAAAAATAAATACATAAAATTGTTATTAGAGGCAAAGAAAGAAGTTTTATAATCATAAAAGGTCAATATAGCAGGGAGATTTAACAGTTTATTGTGTTGAGGCTGGAGGCATATAGCTCAGTGAGCTAGAATGCATTCCTGTATGCAGGCAGGAGTCCTGGGTTTGATCCCCTGTACTGCATGACCCCCAAACAACAGTAGCAACGACTTAGCTGGAAGTATCCCCAGAGCACTACCAGATGTGACACCCCCAATAAAACAAAACAAACAGACCAAGCAATAGAGCCTCAATATACATAAAACATATGGAAAACTGAAAGATGAAATAGTCAATTTTAGGTGAATACTTGAGATTTTAATGCTCCGCTCTCAATAATTGCTATAAATACTTAGAAAATATTCAAGGATGGAGGAGATCAAGAAATTTAACCTAACAAATAAAAATATTCAAATAACTGATTGTTAAAAAGTGTAAAATCCCTTACTAAACTAAACTAGAAGTAAATAGACCTTTCTTGGTCTAGTGGAGTGCAACCATACGTGAATGTCATGCTCCATGGCAAAATGTTGAGAAGTTTGTCCACACAAAGAGATCTGTGTAGTGGTTTATTGTTGCTTTATTCAGAGTAATCAGATACCGGAAACAATTTCAGTGTTCCCAGTAACTGGTAAATGAAGAAATAAAATTTTGTTTTCTACAAAATATTTGGTAATAGAAAGGAATAGATTGCTGATACAGGCTCCTGCATGGATGAATCTCAAAGCATGATGTTTCCTGAGAGAAACTCAATGCCAAGAATTACATATTATTGTTTTCTATTTCTTCGAAATATCC